TTTTAAGAAACGTCTTGTGATAAGAGATATAACTATTGATTTGCTTATTTGGGAGCCGATAAATCACAAAATATTTCCAAATATTTGGCCCAAGTAAGTATTATAATTTAAAATGATTTCAAAATTACATTACATAACATCAAAACTTAAAAGATTCGGAAAGAATTTACAGTTAGAACAATTAGCATTATTAAAAGCTCCTTAAGTTACTATGTATGATAATATTGAGAAATATATTGATTATTCTTTTTGATGATTTAATAGAAATTAATAACATTCATGTTTATTTTTAAATTTTGATTCTTAATGAAAGTTGAACATTTTTACGGATATTTGAAATGAGAGAAACCGGCATTAAATTTTTATAAATGCTAACTATTTCATAAAGTTTTCGCAGGTTATGAAGTTATATATTAAGAAGATAAAATTATAAATATATTTTCATCGTAATATTATAGAAAATATGCTATATTGTAGTTTAATGTGACAAATATTAGTTCCATTCCATAGAACAGGCGAGTGTTGGAGAAAACTGTGGTTTGTTATCTGGTGTTAATTGGTTCAAAAATGAACAAAACTGATCAGTTTAATACACTGAAAAACTCAGGGCAAGTGTTGGTAATCTTGAAGTGAGTGACGATTTTCTTTTTCAACATGACAATGATCCCGTTATGAGGCCATGTTATGTTTCATAATGTACCAACCCGATTCCGTACACCACCTCAAGACATTAACAAATAGAATAGAACATTTATCGGATTTATAGGAATGGAAAACGGATTTATAGGACTGAATTTCGTAGAAGACTTGATACAAAATAACTGTAATAGATCAGTAGTAGGAATTCATTTACGTCGCAATAGAGCTGCATAATAGGTTATTGGCAACTATAAAGGAAGCATCTGTGAGCATAATCTGATGACAAGACGAAATAAATTTTACAGTGCTTTGGTAGCGTATAAGCAGATCCTATATTGCTGGGATGGCGAACCAATGGCACGCGACACAATATTTTGGGCACGCCACCGATCACAAAGTTCCCTATGAAGCATATTAACAATTAAATTAAAAATCACAAAAAAATAGTATTAAATTAAGAACAATTATGAGCAAAAAAAAATAACAATTAATGCCAAAAAACAATTAATAACCATAAAAACAAGCTAACAATAAATGACAAGCAAAAAAAATTAACAGTCCTGCTTAAATTAACATCTTACAACCTAATATAAGTTATTTGCCATCTAATCTGCAACAACAGAAGTCACACTGATGTTACTTGTTGAATTACGCGTATAACTGAGACATTGCAAAATGTATTTTTTCCCCATAGTAAATAGTTTCGAGTTGATACTATTTTGTATAGTTATTTTCCCAAAAATCACGAAGTCAAAATTATTTGACGGCACGTCTATGACCTCATTAAACTATTTTTTAGAAAAAATGGCACGTTGGTGCATTAAGCCCCTGCTGGATAAGGCACTAGGCGATTCCTGTTGGGGTTGGCGATGATACCGCGTAAATGCTGTTAGAGAACGAAATTATATTAACCTAAACCCCAATTCGTTTTCTCCCCGTCGACTATCCTCGATAAATAATATAAAATAAAATATTAAATTAAATGAAAAATGCTTCTGCACGTGAATAAAATTTCATTCATTTCGAAAGTATTGAAAAAATGAATGAAAATATGTTATTCGTTCTATTTCTTTTAGAAATTAAATGAAATTATCTACTTTTTTCAAGAATAATTTTTTTTTTTGACTTGAATGTATGAAAAGACTTTGTAACTTGTATTATTCAGTGTGCTCGTGCTGTTCATCTGGTAGTTAATTTATAAGTATACGACATATATGGCAACGTTACTTTTAAAAAGTAACGAGTAAAAGTACAAGTATTTTTAAAAAAAGTAACGAGTAAACAGTAAAAAGTTCTTATTTTAAAAAGTAACGAGTAAAAAGTACAAGTAAAAGTACAAGTACTAAACAAAAAAAGTAACGATTTAAAAGTACATTTTTAGGAAATCGAAAATTCAAAGTAACCTAAAATTTTATTGAATAATATTCTTATGTTCTTTAATGTTTTTGCAAAATTGTTGTTATTTATTTAATTATTTTTAATTTCGAAAGTTATGGACATTAATTTATTTTTAAATTCGGAAGAATATTATAATATAATTTTATAATATAATCGTATAATATAATTTTAAAATCAAATATAATTTTAATATCAAACTTTTTATGGATTTGCACGAAAAAGAAATTTTATCTATTGATTTTAATTTTTAGTTTATTATTTTTATTTATTTAAATTACCATTGATTTAAAATTGTTTTACTCTTTAGAAACGCGTTTTAAAAGCACAAACATAAACAAAGCAAACACGGGGTTTCAGATAGCTTTGTGATCTTTGAGCTAGTAAAAAATAATTGAATGTGCAGTATAAGTTGAAACAGAAGGTATTTAAACACGAAGTTAGCTGTGAATGCATGTATATTGCACATTAATTTTATAAATTAAGAAAAACCTAAGCATTTTTTTTTCAATTTAATAAATTTTTTTTTAGAAAGCTTACCGAGTTTTAGAAAAAAGTAACGATTTCATTCGACATTTCCGTTACAAATACTTGTACTTTTTCCCTAAAAAAGTAACGAAAGTACAAGTAAAAGTACTAAATTTAAAAAGTAACGAAGTACAAGTAAAAGTACGTACTTTTTACTTGTACCGGCGGTACAAGTAACGAAAGTAAAAGTACTGCCATATATGGTATGCGATGAATAAATTGTAAGAATAACTCATTAATTTCTTTCTGTAAGGAGTTAAAAACACTTTATTGTTAGGATCATACAAATACACTGTATTTATGTTTTATTAAAAGCATAACTATATTTAAAAAACTTTGTCTTTTGACATAACACTTAGATTTAATTGACTTCATATAAATATTTAGATATGTTAAACCAGAACTCATTTAATTCTATTTTTACATTTTGTCATTCTTTTCATCAGGTGTAAAGTGCGGTATAGCCAAATATCGAACTAAGGTGGATATTTCGCAGTACCTCACTTTTTAACTGCTGTACAAAAAGTCAAAGTAACTAATCAACTCACTCGAGAGTCTGTAACTGACTTTGTAACTTACACATCATATTCACTCAAACGGAAGAATGTCAAATAAAAAATAGAGAAAAGATGCTTTTGCTATATTTTTAAATGGAATCAAGGTATAATTATTTCTTAAAAATATAGCGAAGATTTAAAAAAAATGTGCTAGAAATATTTGCTAAGAAATAAAAATATTTTATCAATAAAACGGCACCAAAATTAAATAACACTTTACTAGCATGTTTTATTGGAACAATATTTTGAAGAATTAATTCTATTGAACTTTGATTGTAAAAAAATAAAAGTCATAACCTGTTTTAGTTTACAGATGTTCTCCTTTATAACAATCTCAATAATGGGAACCTTTTTATGGAGATGTTTTAAGAAGTCAACAAATACATATTATTTACTACAAAAACAATAGGTATTCTAAAAATGTTATTTCATTTTATATTAAAACTTTCTTACAAACATGAAATAATTGATATTTTTAAAATTTTAAAGTAATTGGAAATTCTCTAGCCCCAAAATAAATGCATTTATAACTAATCTAATGGGAAAAAAATGAATGCATTTTTCTTTCATGGCTTATGTTACGAGTTTTACGAGATCTTATGTTACGAGATCTCTAAACGATATTTATCCACTTGAAATGTAATCTGAATTTACAAAAATATCCAATTTTATATAAACAATCTCTAATCGTATCTGATTTAATGCGAATTTATTGAAAAGAAATTAGGAAAACAACTGAAAGTTATTATGTGAGTATTGAAAATTATTTTATCAGTTCAGACTGAAAACCTGGAGTTAACCCAAATCTTATGACACGTTTAAAATGAAACTCTGTGAAAAGTTTAAGATTGAAATGCTATTTCATTGCCATAATCCTTTATTGTAAAACAACATTTACTGAATAACTTATTTTTGAAATGAGAGGTGTGAACATAACCTCCATGGAAAATTTATTTAAATCTTTTATATTCTATTGAGATAAAAGTCCATAAATACTTCATGTAGTATGGGGGTCATAAATATATTGATTCTATTGGTAATAGGGTAATAAAATACAGTAAATAGATAAAGCACAATTTCAAAAATATATTTTATTTACACATATTGCCTGCAGGGTGATTCCATAACGATCACACGTAATATATATTTATAGATTCCTAATAAAAACAAATTAATAAATATGTAAAAAAAAAATTTTTCAGCGCTTTGAATAAATATTTAAACGCAAATACTAGTGATACCTCAATAGTTAAATCTGATGAATCAGTGCTGAGTGAGACGATATTGAAAACATTGGAACCCAATTATTGCCATAGGAACATCTGAGAAGAGCTGAAAAAGCGATTGTTCGAAGCTAACAGTTCAATATTTTGGATTGATACTAGCATTCCTACAGTTCATACTTCTGGTCATCTTCCAAAGTCACTTCATGAAAGTTAACAGCTCCAAATATACTTTGAAAATAGCTTTCAGAAACTGATGCCTGGTCTTTAATTTTCTTCAGATGTGAAAACGCTACAGTTCTCCTTGCTTTAGATTAATAGAAGTAACTGCAGAGCCATCCTAAAGAAAAACATTTATAATTAATAGTGTTTTAGTTAAACTATAAAGTAAAAAAAAACAGAAAATAGTGAAACATTATTATAAAAATAAGGATTATGTAGTTAATAGTCAGCATAAATTTATAAGAAATATTTGTAACAAATATTAATTCGAATTTTTAGCGAATTATAAAACTTAAGAGTGCCACAAGCTCTTAAATTTTATAATTGATTTAATATTGGATAGTTAAGACACTGAGTTGGAATTGGCATTAAACCAGACGATGATTTGAAACTGAAATAACAGAACATCTAAAAGGAAGAGTGAAAAAAACTGGAAAGAAAGACACTGAAAACACTCAATGACATGAATTTATTTTTATGAATTTATTTTTGTTAGACCCGAAATTAATGCAATTGAAAAATTATTCAAACGTAATTAAATATTTAAAAAATAAATTAGCTAAGATACACAGTTTGAAGTTTATAGAACAGAGCTTTATATTTTTATATATATTTTTGACCTTACATATTTTTGAGCAGCCATGGCTGAGTGGTTAGGGCACTGAACTATCATTTTAAAGACTGTGGTTCGATCTTCAGTTACGGCATGAAGCCCCTCTCCAATTTCAAATCGATGGGTAGAAGCCCGCTAGGGAAGTAAATTTTGACTGTGCACTCTTTTAAACTGTAGAAGGTTTTTTCTGTATTTACTGTATCTATTTTTTCTGTATCAATTAATTTACTAAAATTGGACATGCTCAATTACTTCAGTACTTTTAATAGTAATATTTTATTAATAATTATTTAAAAAATAAAATTAAAAGAAAGTTTTATTAAAAATGTAAAAGTTTTTGAAGTAAAACTATTGACAAAATCAAAAAACATGACAGAATTCAAGTAAATTCTTTCGGCTCAAAATAAATTTTGATTTAAAATGGAAAGATATTGACTTAATATATTTAGGAGATAAAAAATTCTCCAATCGCTAACAACTGAAAGAAGAAAAAAAATTATTCATTTTTTTTCTTCTTTTCTACAAAAAGTTTGAAACTAAAATTGTTCTTCTTTAATTATAAAGCAATAATAAAGTTTTAATAATATTACCTTGTTATGCAAAATTTTATGACGAAATTATTTATCTACCTTTTTAAAATTATTAAATGACAAAAAAAGTTCCTCTTGCTTCTTAAAAAGCAATACTCAATTGTTCAATGAATTTTATAAACATTATTATAAACCTGGGTATAATGAATATATACAAGTAGAATAATTAGTACAAAATATCTGCTAAAAATTCTGAAGCATTAATAAGTACTAACTTTTCGCTTTGTTGCTAAATAATCTCAAAGTCGAAAAATATTTAAAGAATTTTACATTAACAGAAAATTAAATGAAAATTAAAAAATATAGAGTTGGAAACAGTCTCTACTATACAATAAAAAAAATTGGAATCTTTTAAATGAACCATTTTTAAATTTATTGCAATAATCGTTTCATTTTTAAGGATTGAAAGTTATTGTAAAATTATTTAAATAAAGTTGGTGAGTAAAGCGAGTAGGAGATTCTGAATATATTGAATCAGAGTTATTAAAAAATCGCATAATAAGCAAATTACAAGACTTGTTAGTAGCAAATATAGTTAACTTAAAAATATTATACTTTTTAAATACTGCACGTAATTTATCATTCAGTTCTGGTCTTATACGTGCCAAGTTTTTTATTTTATGCGCTTTATATTTAATTTAATACAGAATTTGACATTAAATCACAAAAAGGGAATAAATTAATAATAATTTATCCTCAAAAAATTTTTTTTTTATTGAGAGCTTGATTATATGAATATATGCACAAGACTGAGAGTCTTCAGTTTTTCTAAGAGTAGGCAACCTTTTATTGTGACTGTTATGCTAGCATGCATAGTCTTTTCTAAGATGATAAAACAAGCTCAATTTAGTAACAAATTATTCGAGTATGAGAAGTAAGAATATAATGCAGTTAAAGAACCTTCAAAGAAGTTTTCTGGCTTCATTTGGACGAGATTTACGGGAAATCCACGATGATTCATGCTAAATGTGTCAACCCAAGCTTGCATGTCGTTGTATGAACGAATCGAAGACTGAGTTTTTATTATTTTTCCATTATTTTTAGTAATGACATTAGTGAAATTTTAAGGAAGATCAGCTTCTTTAAGATTATGAACTGTCGCATCCATATTAAATTTGGTGAGTGATACTATTCCAAAAGCAAAACAAAAGCATCGGGCACAGTGATTGTCGAGGGCGCCCCTTCAACATCAATTGCAATTTTCGCCAACTGAGTCGTATCCAATATAAGATCGCAGCCCAATGACCTGGGCGAGTACATTTTATGGTAGAACCGTAACGAGAACCAATACCACACATTTGATCAAAGTGGTTAACCACCTGGGTGAGAAACCTTGTCTTACCAGAAAACTGCAATGGAGATCAATATTCTGAGAATGCTTTTAAGAAAATGCAATTATTGTTAGAACTTTATGTCGGGGTATTGAAGAGTACGACAATTTCAGGTTAATTCCCTTTTATGTAATAATCAAGTTATTGTTATATGGCATTTTGTGGAATTATTATAATTATATCGATTCATAAAGGCTCCATGAACTCACCGCATAAGCATAAAAGGTAATCTTTCTTAGGCAGGTTTTCGTTTCTAAGTTCATTCCTGGCTGCCACATGCAATTTTATCTAAGTTAAATTTTAACATTTTGTCAGTTTGACATAAAATAATTAAAAGTGTTTTTAATTAACTATTTTTATGCTTACTTAGCCAATAATTTATTTGTTTAAAGCTGTTAATTTAATAAATGTGATTCATTTTTGCGGGGTGCCTTTAATTTTTGGAAGCGATCACGCATTTATATTTATCTACTGAACATCGTTTTGAAATCTTCAATAATGGAATGATTAAGAAAAATGTTATTTAAATGCATTTGATATAACTTGTTAATAGTTTTTTTTTTGTCTTAGTCGACACGATTCGAGGACCTTCATGCGAGTTCTTAAAATTTCAGAGACCAGTTTAAGCATAAGTTTTGATTAATAATTTTCATTTATTTGTATTTTCTTCTTTGCTAGGTATGTTTGCATGTCTGATGGTGTTCTACTGGTGTATGAAGTTTTGGATCTAAAAACTTTTCATTCGCTCACGAGGTTGTTGAGTTTAATAAAGAAGTATAACTCAGTCGCTGTTACGTTTTTAGGTATTTGTTTATTTAAATGCATAATTTTATATCACATTGTCTGCATCTTCAATGATTCTGCCCCTGAGGTTGAGTCTACACTGAACTGATCTAATCAAATTTTTCTCAAGACCATTGAACATATGTTAAGAACTATAGAGGATGTTTAAATTAATAAAAATAATTTATTAATTTTTTATTGTAAGATTTAAAATGAAGCAAATTAAGTAAATTAAGGTGGGTAAGGTTTTCAAAATATAGTTTTTTGTCTATCACTTAGAAAATATTTATTGCAATTTCACATTAATATTTTTTAAAGATATTATAAAAATTACATTAACAATTTGACGTTAACTTACGAAAACAATTTTAGTATTAAGTATACTTAATTCTGCAGGATCTTGGTTATCATTTTTGTTTTTCAAAGATAAACAGATTTATACTTTAAAAAAAATGCGAGTAAATTATCCTGAATTTTTTTATTGTACTAATGCAAGCTCGACATATTAAGTTTCCAATTCGATTAGGACAAATTTAGTTTTAAAAAACTCGGCTGTTATTGCTACTACATCCAATTTAATTCTAAATACTACTAAATACTTATTTTATATCCCTTATTTTAATGACATACGTTGACTGAACATATTTTTAAGATGAACTTATCAGGAAAGTAAATGTTATGTATATTAAAAAATACGTGCAACTTGATCATTTTTATGTTGAAAGTTAGTGGATGAAGTTACATTTGCAATGATACCCAAGAAAAATGATTTTTCTATTTTAAACAAAATTATATTGCAACAGAAAAGAAGGTAATAAAAATGTAATAAAAATAGCTGCCATAACAAAGTATCTTAATAAAATTAGTATGATAGTTAAAAAATGTTAATACTGACTTAAGAAATTGTTATATGAAATATTTTTGAAATCAAAAGAGAACAAAAATACCGCTGAATAAGAAGTCAAATGCCATTACAATCTTTATTTATTCTATTTTTGTGACAGCCAAATATTTTCGGTTCTTTTTTGTCAGGATATCTACTCAATAAGAATGCATCAACAACTATGAAAACGGTATTAGACACTTATGTTTTTTTATAATATTTGGAGATAATTTATTTTTCTTTATTGATAACAGTTGGAGCTAAATCTGATTGCTTGGATTCTGTGGAACTATCAAATGAAACAGTTGAAGACTTCGCAAGAAAAGAGAACCTTGAGCAATTTCAGTGTAGTGCCAAAAATGGTGAAAATGTTGAGAAAGTGAGTTTTATTTGCTTATATGAAAACGTCAATGTAAGAATTGCCAACAATGTGTACAAAGTCTAAAGCAATTGTATACACTGTCTGTCGATTTTAGGCGAGAGGTATTATTGTATACTTTTCCAAGACATTGTGCATAGTAGCAAATGCTATTCAGGCAAAGTACCATTTTTATTCGTAGCTTTCGTCATCCGACACCTGAACTTAACAGTAGTATATGGGGGGGGCTAGAGGACACTTTTGCCCTTCCCTATATACTACTATTAATTTCCTATTTTTATATTAAAAAAATTAAAATAGGCCTATATTTTACATTTTTATATGAAATATCAGTATATTTAAAAATTCTTATTTTTATATTAATAATTTTTATTTTATTAAAACCTTATNATTATCTGAAAAAGATGAGTGGCGGCGAAACCCTGTCATTAGCCGACTGACTGAAAGAAGATTGGATCTTTTTTCTACATACCTGATTGCGAGCCAGGTAATGAGGGTTTCATTCCAAATGAAGTGGAACATGAAAGGGTAATACTAAGTTGAAGAAGTATATCTAGACAGTTTCATTATCATATCATCATACAAATGGTAGGCTTCAAGAAGTGAAACTGTTTAAAAGTTTGATATGAAACAGCTGAAAATCAAAATAGAGTGCACCGAAATCTGTCGAACCAGTATTGGACAGTAATGAAATCGATTCATTCGAAACCCAGGAAGAAATCACGAAAGAAGAAACTGAGGACTTGGGGCCAGCAATGAAACTACTAACAATATGAACGGGACTACTCTTGATAAGTCAAATGATATTGATTAGACAGTAGAAGAGGAAAAAGAAGTCCAACAAAAGCAGATGGAAAATTGAAGATTGTTATAAAAGGAGTTCCTATTTAAATTAGTGAAAATCAGTTTCTTAACGTTTTAAAGAACTTAATTTCGAGCCAGCAAAACGCATTAGGTTGGAAAGAAGAATAAGTGATAGCAATACTTAACTTATTAATAAGCAAATCGTGACTATCTTTGTTATTTTTAAATCATTTGAATTAAAAAAGGAACATTATTAACATCACGAAAACTTTACATACAATGCTTCAATGCTTCAGATTCAGATTTTTGGCCACGCCCAATACAAATATGTCAATTAACCAGCATCTCTAAAGTGTATCGAGCCTTATCTCTCCAACCTTTGCGATAAGCATGGGAATCTGTTCGTTAAATGTGACCCGTGTTCCAGCGAACGCTCAATGAACTTTACCGGCTGCCTTGCCAGAAAGTAGAAAACGAAGATCACAAATGAACTGTCATCACTGCCAAAATCAATGGAATTATTAGTAACCATCCAAAAACTCCAGGAATTACCCAAATATCAGGACACCTGAAGTTTACTAAAAGGACTGATTAACAACCAGAACTTTGATTAGGGGCAAGAAGGCATCTCACTCCCTGCTCGACTGAGTTAATATAGAACAACCGTATGCAGGGGGAAAAATTTTTTAACATCTTAATGTTTCAACATTATATGACACTACAATTGTCATTCATCTCAGCAGCGACTAAAAAGAAGGCAGGAACTCCAACCACTTTATTTTGCTACTTTAGGCGATGTATGATACAAAGCCTTTCAAGACAGTCATCAATTTCAAATATGTCAATTAAAAATTAAACAAGAGTCCAAATTTATATTTAAAAGTCTGTTATGTATAAAGTCTGTTTTGCTGTAAGTGAATAACATAAAATTTACTTATTGTTTTAGATATAATAGTACTGCTTATAGTGAGTTAGGTTTAAACTTCACCTGGTTATCAGAATTGTTTGAGTCGATCATGTGGTGCACCTTAACCTATAGAAAGTTGTGTGTTACACCATCATCTTACTAGAAATTTACTTATGCATTTACGTATGAAAACACAAAATAGGAAGCAAAATAAATGGCAATATGAAAATAAAGATAAAAAAAATTACAATAATTAATCAGAAATTGTAGAAAAGTAAAATAAAGATCCTGTAATTAGCACAGCAAGATTAATTAACCAAACTTTACATTAGAGACCAAGAGCAAAGTGTTATTGAATATTTAACTAAAAATATTTGTAATAACTTGAAAAAAACTGAACAGTCAGTGGGTTCAAAGGATTTAGTTCCCTGACAAACTTATTTTAATATGAATAACGCTCCTTATAAATGCTAATAGAACTGAAATATATACGCGATAAAGTGGAAATACATAGGTGATGTGATGATTCTATTCCATATTTTAGATGCAACGGAGCAAAAAAGGAGTTAAAAGATTAATATCTCACAGTTAAAGTTTAATAACTCATAAAGGATCCTAACTCTCAAAAATTCAAGAGGCTGGATCCTGTAACATATGTGGTCCGACTTCAAATTACCTGATCATAGAGGCAGCTTGAAAAACTCACATTTCATGTTGATAGGTCATTTTTGCTGATTATGGAATAAAATTGATTTTCAACTGGATCCAAAATTCACTACTCAAAGAACCAAGGCACACCACCAGTGGTTTAACTTGGTCCTATTTAAACTTTTCTCTTTTATTCTTTTTTGTACGGAATACTTGAATTATAATTTCAACAAAAATATATGTTATAACTGAAGTACACATGGAATTGATTTCATTAATTCTTTTCAGTAATCATCACCTTAAAAATTAAAATGCCGAAATAGGACTCCAGCCACCTTCCCTAGATATTTCCCCAATTATAAGGAACCAAAGAATAACTATTTTGTAAAGGGCATTTTGAAAATAACTGACAATCTGCTGAACCGCTGTTTCTTTACAGATAATGAGCCATCTTGTTTGGCATATATTTTCACTGATTTTCAAAGTATTTTACCTGCAATGCATCATAAATAGAGTTAACAAGATTTTCTAAAAATGAGTTTTGCTTCTTATTTTAATAAAGTTCCAAAAATTTTTCAATTGCATCTAAAGAAGGAGAACTTAAAAGTCAATTCATAACATTTACTTTATTTTGTTTAAATAATTTTTTTTTGAAACTTGAATGTGATAATGCACTAAAGCTTCTTGATAAAAAAAAGTGAGATGAAACAGATTGTTCTTTGTAGGGAAACAAGAGAAATTGTGACTTTGGTAACAATCCACAATCAGCTAGCAGTGGGTAAAGCTTTCTGGTATATCATTAAAACAGAATATATCTAAACTGTATTTCTAAACCGATTCCCCCCGAATTGACAATAGTCAACTTTTGGTTTTGTGACGTGGCTAAATTGACTGTCAACCGAACTTATAACCAAAACGTAAATATTTACTTCATATGGGGCTCATATTTGCTCTGAATAAAAGTAAAAAACCGGTTATGAAGTAGGCGAGAGATTCTTTTTTCCTCAAACTCTGTTCAAACATACACTAAGTAGAGTTTGTTACACAATATAACCGGTTGAACCTCTTCTCTTGCCTTGGAGATCTCCTCAATATGAGGAAAATCTTTGCATTGAAAACAAAACAGTTCAAAGGCTCAGCCCCATTCGAGTTGTGTATTTAGTGCATGGAAGTTAGATGTCATGAAAGTTATCACTGTTTACATAAAAATTCATTCTAACTTCAAAATCGCATGTTATAGTCCAAAGAGTGTTCGTATTATTGCCTTACACATTGTTGTAATTTAAACTGGAAAGTTAGCAAACTTACAGCGTTCATTTTTTTTTAAAAAAGGAGTTTCATTTGAAGTTTATTGAACATTTTTATAAACAATATCTTAGCAATAAGTAATCTAATTTCCTATATTAAGGGAGCATAAATGAAATAATCACAGAAAATTTCGTGACCTACGGAATGTCATCGACAAATTTTTATTTTGCCAGGCATATGAAAACAAGCTACTTACACTATTAAAAGTGTTTCTACTCACAAGCTTAAACTGAAATCAATAAAAAGAAATAAAATAAAGCTAAAGTTATATATCACTTATCATTTAATTAGGAAATTTGTGACTGATGTAAATGCTAAAAGTTTGGGGAGATTTCTAAAAGTCTAAATCAATAAGACCAGAATAATATGAAGAAGAAATTAAAATTTAGATTTAAACTAGAACAAGTCTGCTTTAAAATCCCGGCTCAAAAAAAAAAACTTATGAAATGAGTGTAAGATTAAAATAAGGTGAGAGTAAGAGATTTAAACATTCAAAATAATAATTGAACCAGCTAAAATTTTTATTTGGGGTTACGCAATTTATCTCTTACCTATATTTCGAACTTCTCTTTTTATAGATTTTCGAACATTTAGTTTTGAGAATTCTTCAAACAAAGAATTTGGCTTCCGGAAAGAAAGATGAAGAATCTCCAATTATTTTGGCTGACGACAATGTCCACCTGGAGGGAAAATCTCAAACTGAAAATCCGAAATCGAGAAACCCCAAAGATAATTCGCAGTTAATCTTAACACAGAAAGAGTCTTTCATCATGGTAGAAATCAAATCTCATGCCTCAGAAGAAAAAAAAGAAGGTTCGTTCCAAATAGAAAGTAACTGTAGAGATCCACAAAAAGAAGTGAGGACATCGTTGATATACGAGGAAGTTTCAGAAGGAAAATGCACGGAATGGAATATAGATCAGAAATAGTTACAACTATGCAAAACATGTTGAAACTCAATTTGCAGTTGTATATTGATTAGAAATAGTCGTATCTACTTAAAATATATAGATTCTCAATTTGCATCGGTATTGTTACATTTAAACTTAGTGTCATTTTACAATGACTTATTTTATGTTAATATGTTTCTTTATGTTCTTATTTAAAATAATCTTTTAATTTATGACCTTTATCTTTTTATTTAAAATAATTGATGAAAATATTTGGATAAACTGAGTAGTTTGCTCTTAATTTCCAGAGAGTTTTCATTTATTTTTCTGCAATATGTATTTTCTATGTTTTACAATAGATTATCTTAATTTAAACATCAATTTACAGAGCATATTTGACTCTTAAAAATATTCATTTCGTTCGGAAAAGAAATCTTACCTTTTTCTGCTCCTCTTGGGTCATTGCCCTCATCTTTGAAATTTAGTTTCTAGTGTGTAAAGAAAAATTCCCTCTTTTCGTTTTGCTCTTTGTCGCATCGGAAGTATCTAATAATTTTGTTTTAACAAACTCGCAGAATGCAAATGTAAATCTTGAGAAATCGAATTTTAAATATTTGACTTTTTTTAAATTCAATTTTTCAGAACTATTCAACCGATTTTGCTCAAATTTTGTATTTTGCCATGCAAAATCATATATTTTAAAATGTTCACCTTACTTTTCCAAATTTTTTGATCCTTATTAAAGAAATAATAATGAATTATTACTAAAAGTTATTTTTTTTCATGGACTAATCTTTGAATAAACGAATTGTATAATTTCGAGCAAAAATTTTTCAATTCGCTTAAACAGTTCTTGAGATATATCGAAATACGTAAGAAGTAAAATTAACATTAGAGGGGTACAATTTTTTAACCGCTCTTCTGACCAAACTATTGGGACCATCTTTCCCAGATTGCAGTTACCTCCAATATTTTGGATTTCAGAAATCTGCGACCGTCGAAAAAGAGGTATGTTTATTCAGAGAAAGTATACTTCTGCGTTTCGTAACTTAAAATATCATCTGCACACATTAATCAGCATATTTGAAGTCTCCGCCTCGAGCCATTAGATTGAGTCCTAGAACGTGAAGATCCGATCATTACATCAAAAGTTATTCAGGGTGGTCCATTTTTTTGCGCACTATACATTTAAAATCTATCTTTCATTTACATCCTCTATGTTCAATAATGTATCACGCTGGTTTGCAGACTTTTTTTTGTTGATAAATTCCAAATCTGTTCTGTGCTTGTTAAAAAGGTGTTCTTTTATGTCTGTCGATTTGTTGCCGCGTTATTTTATTACTAAAATAAAATTTGTTTGTAAAAAATATCATTTTTCCTACGAAATATGTGTAGGGCAGAATTAAAGGAGCAATGAAGGATTCTCTTTTTACAGCTTATCGTCTCTTTTGATAATTGCGGAAAGTAATTCTAATCATATGTATTTTTAGGGCATGAAACTTCGGAAACATTCAGATACCGTTTAAAAATATTATAGTTCAATATTATCATTCATTTAATCATTCTATCATAAATCGATTTATTATTATTGTTTGTCTTATTTCCCAGTTCCAAATTTTCGTAGTGTTCACAGTTAAACTCATGTAACTGACCATTGAGCCTCTGTTGAAAATAAATTTCTTCCACTGATTTGCATTTCCTTATACCCAGTTATGTGCTATGTTTGAGTCTCTATATAGAACATAGTTGTTATTTATTTGAAACTCCTTCCTTAAAGTTTTCATTAATGTGGAACCTAGAAAGTGGACTTCAGTTCTAATCTGGGTAGATTCAATTTCTTCATTTTTATTCTATGAACATCGTTGAACAATAGACACAATTTTGAGTTTACGACTACCAATGTTCAAGTCCGTTACCTTGTAATTTTGAACTCAACCCATGAGGCGAGGGAGCTCCTGGATCAAGTAATTGGAGAAATTTGCCTTTGAATAGGACTTTTTGAAGGAACTATTACCAGCATTTGGTTACATAGAGGGGAAAAACACGTAAAACTACCACAGTTAGCTTGAAGGCAAGGAGACTTTAATACACTAAGGATATTTTAACTCATCATTGTGTTTGGCGCAAGCTGGGCTCGGACCAGCCAGCGCTGGTATTCAAACCCAGGTCATCTCACTGGAAGGCAAGAACCCTTGAGCCACCACAACTTTTTCAATGGATCAACGCTTTCCTTTGAGTAATCAAAATCATGTCTTTCCAATTGAATGTTTGCAATCACTCCTTTTCTCACGTGTCACAAAATATACTTCGTTATTTTCTTTATGGAAATAATATCTTGGCAATAAAAGTTCCTTTAATACATTTACTTCCTTCCAAACATTTTTCTCATTTCAGTTAAAAAATATCTCCGAATTTCTCAACCCATTATGCTGAACCTCTTTTTTATGAAGAAGAATTCAAATCGTGAATGATGTCAATTGGATCTTAAATAATTTGAATAATATGCGTAATGAGAATCTCTTGGTATCTCTTACATACTAAAAATCAATTAATGAACTTAAATCTAAACTAAATTCATCTTTCAATCATCGATTCAGCTTTCACCATCATTCCAAATTTATCCTAAGACCTTTAAAAATGTTTATTAGGACATTTTTCAAATTCAGTGTCTCGCCATTTATCTGCTTAACTCATGAGAATTGCATCTCGAATTTGAAAAATTTATTGGTGCATCCTTTAGTATTAATTTAGCGACCCGGAATAATAATAAGCCATCTTCAATCACATCTGCACCAGCAATAAGAACGTCAACGTATAAATTTTAATTCAAAACCTTATATGCCAAAGGATGAGATATGATACTTTATTGTTCCAGCCTGCAAAAATATTGATGACTTTACTCCGAAAGCTACGGTTCTATTATGAAAAATCTTAGGAGGGCTGAAGAAACTGAGCAAAGAAATCTTATATAGTTCCAGCCATTTTCATCAATTTAAATTAGTTGAAAAGTTTTTCACAATTAGCAATTATTTCTACCTTAAACTAGCTAAATTTTAATAGTAAAATTAAAAGATTAGAGTTTAAATTTAGGATCTGATACTAAGTCATCATTTAGAGAGAAGAATTATTTTTCTTTGATCGAAACATCATTTGTAATTTAGAGGTTTGTTTATCACTTTGAATCACTGGATGATTGAGGTAAGTGGTATACCTTTTTGGAATCATTTATGCATTATTAATAAGTTTTATTATTCCTTTCAATAATTTTAAATCCCTGACACAGTTTGCATGCTGATCATTAGATAAGAACATTATCCGGTTTTTTTTTTCTTTTGAGCATTGATTTGTTTCAGGAATAAGTCTTTTAGAATATTCAGCAACTATCAGTCAAAATCTTTTGTTTACCACATGTATTGGTTTGCTTTAAAAAATAATGCTTAATTTTGATAAGGGTTTTAATATTTTTCCTTATTTAACAGTATGATTTATTTGTATTTTATTTTATGGATTGTCTTTTTTGAAAATTGTAGATATAAAAATACCGTGAGATTTCCAATTACTTGTCATTTTGAAATTCAGAATGATTATTGTTCAATTGCAGAAAATACCTACCGATTTTAAATTTGAATAATATTTAATATCTTTTCTTGTAGCCTAATGCGAAGCCAGTCGATGCCAATTGTTCAAATTTCAGTTATTCTAACAGCAAAAAATAGAGTCCTTAACTATAATTTGAGAGGACAGTCAAAAATTTGCGAAATAGGTAAAAAATTGTTTGTCATCTTATTGCAAAATATTTATAAATATTTGAAACCTCAATTACAAATATCTTGAAATTTTGTCATTGCTTGTTCTTGCATGAAGTTACAGAAATAAAACTTAAAAACAATCAATTTGTCTGTGTATAAAATATCACTATAAGTTACTAAAGAACTTATTGAAATCTCTTCATAATATATTTAAGCAATAATTTGTCATAACAAATTTAAGCAATCATAATATATGCTAATTCAATGGAGTGGTTTGAGAAATAAATAAATAGAAACGCAAATTTAATAATTATAAACTCACAAACATGCAATTAATATACTTAGGTAACAATTATGATCTATTTTAAACAGAACAGAGCTAAACACAAGTTATACAAAATATCTTTTGAGACACTAAGGTTCAACGACCTAGCGACTGCTGGTTTGCTCTCGTAAAATCATTTCCTAATAAGGATGTCAAATATTGCGTTTAAAACGCATTTGAAGATTGTAATTTAACTGATTCTAAAATTAATTAATATTGAAATACTTGTTTCGAGTTGCTTGAAATCTTAAACAGTTTTTCTCTGAAATCTATGTAACGAAATACATGACATTCACTTTAAATCGGAATTCAATATGTAATAACAGAGGTTTAAATGTTAAACAAATGTATCATTTTAAATGCAGTCAGATTTTATGTTTGGGTTTTAATCATTTACGTTAGAATGATGACTATTATTCTTTTAGTTGATAGAATTGTAGAATGAAATAAACGTGCAGTTTAATTGTACAAGGGCCAGATCGGGCTATTCTTCTCTAAATACAGAATCAAATTCTTAAGATAGTATGTATTGAAAGTAACAAAATTAAAATTTTCTGTATATAATATTTATGCTCAAGCAAACAGAAAATAAAATGTGGAAACAAAAAAAAGAAGTCGGAAATCGGTTGTGGTTGAGACATTTTATATGTTTCTCTTAGAGAAAATAAGCCTGCTAATAATCTAGAATTTGCTGATAAAAATTAAATATGAATTTTTAATAGGGCGGTAATTTAAATTTAGATGCCGTATTGGTTCACGTTGGAGCTAGGGCAAACAATTCCCTCAATTTCTTGGTCCAGTGAACGCATAAATTATTAAATGAAATGATGTTTTATTTTTTAAAAATTATTATTAAAGAAATTTTGTAATGAATGTTGCGAAATATGTTTAGGCATCCAATATTAGCCATTTCAAAGGATCCTATACTCTTTAACTTACATCAACCTAATTTTTATTATCGCACACTAAAGTATCTTGTTGATACTATTAGAAATGTATTTTAATCGACTACTATTTCAATTATATTTAGTATCTTTTGGCTAAATTAAAATAACTAACAAAGCATTTTCACTTAAAGCGAAGATTGAAGTGTGGACAATAATTGTTACTTTCTTTGACGGTGATTTCGACGAAATTCAAATAAATGAATAAATAAGGGATATAAAACTCCTGACTAAAAACATTAAAGTAATCCTCATCGTAACTTCTTGTCGATTAGTTGGCAAC